AGCCCAGGCTGGTCTCGAACTCGCAACAATCCTCCTGCCTCAGCCTCCTGAGTGCTGGGATTACAGGCATGAGCCACCACACCTGGCTCAACCTTATTTTCTATTACAACATTTTCGGGGGGGTTTTTTGGTACCAGGAATCGAACTCAGGACCTGGCGCATCCCAGGCAGGCACTGTGCCACTGAGCTCTATCCACATCCCTTATTACAACCATTTAAACCAACTAATAATATTCTTCTAATTCATCGGTTTTCATCCTTATTTTGTTTTAACCATTTAAAACAGATAAAATATTCTTTCTAAAGACCACTTTAATGGAAGCCCAGGAATTTCGGTACATTTTTTTTAGTTCAAAATATCTCTCAATTGCTATTATAATCTTTCTCCAACTGATTACTTAAAAATATGTTTAATTCCAAAATATATTCAGTTTTTACGTTGCTTTTGTTACTGATTCCTAACTCAAGTACATGGTGGACAGAGAACATGGTTCAAATGATACAGATATGAAATCTATGGAAACTTGTTATCTGTGTAGAGTGTGTATTCATCATCTGCCGGGTACAGTTGTACACAGTTGCCCGTTAGGGTCAAGGCTGCAATTTGTTTGTTTGTTTGTTTTTGTTTGTTTTTTCCAGTACCAGGAATCGAACTCACGACGTCGCACTTGCCAGGCAGGCACTGTGCAGCTGAGCTAAATCCCCAGCCCCAAGGCTGCAATTTGTGTGCTTCCACTCTTTTACATCTTTACTTTTTGTTGTTGTTGTTTGACACAAGGTCTCACTATGCAGTTCAGGCTGGCCTGGACTCACTATGTAGCCCCTGCTGGCCTTGAACTCACATCAATCTCCTGCCTCAGCCTCCTGAGTGCTGGGGTTTCAGCCACGTGCCACCACACCTGTCTTGGGAGAAGAGATACTGCATTCATGGTGCTGCCTCAGCAAGAATAAAGAGCTTCCGTGAGCAAAGATTGAAAGCCTTAGTCAGAAGTGTGCACATCTGAGTGTGATTATTTCTCTAGGTTTACCATGCTGACTAGAAACAGTTGTCAGCAATGGATAGCGAGACAGGTATTTCTCATATATAATTACTATTGTTTGTATTTTATAAAAAGCTTTTAAAACAAAAAGATATAGGTGTGGGCATGGTGGGGCACACCTGTAATCCCAGCACTCAGGGGGCTGAGGCAGAAGGATCTCTGCAAGTATGAGACCAGCCTGGGCTAAATAGTGAATTCAAGGCCAGCCTGAACTACATAGCAAGAACCTGTCTCAAAAAAAAGTGTGTATGTGTGTGTGTGTGTGTTTATAAAGAAGAAAGAATTTAATTATAGACTTTCAACTACCAGGTTCACATTAAAATTACTAAAGTTTGGATCAGGCATTGGCAGAGTGTGGAGCACTTGCCCTCGGTTCTCTGCCTAGCACTGAGAAAGAAAGGAAGGAGGAAGGGAAGGGAAAGAAAAAAGGAAGCGAAGAGAAGAGAGGGGGAGGGGAGGAAGGCAGAGAGAACAGGGGCATGGAGACAGAAAGGGAAAAGGAAGGAAGACAAGGAGGAGACAGAGAAAGGAATTAGGGCTGGGGATTTAGCTTAGCAGCACGGTGCCTGCCTGGCAAGTGCAAGGTCCTCAGTTTGATTCCCAGGTACCCTGCCCCTGCCAAAAAAAAAAAAAAAAAAAGGAATTAACGAGAAAGACATTACCACAGCTTGGGGCAGGACACCACGTCAGCCACTCTATAGGAGCATGATCACTAGGGACTAAAGTTGGGACTTAGTGATGCCACAGTTCTCCCGAGCTAATTTCTGCTCCTAGCCTCCTTTTTAGAAAGGCTTCCTTCTGCCAGATGTGGTGGCACATGCCTGTAACCCCAGCACTCAGAGGCTGAGGCAGGAGGATCACCGTGAGTTCAAGGCCAGTCTGGGCTACATAGTGAGTTCAAGGTCAGACTAAATTATATAGTGAGACTCTTTCTCAAAAAATTTAAAAAATAAATTTAAAGAGGCTTCCTTGGGGCCAGGGATGTAGCTCAGCAGCACAGCGCCTGCCTAGCAAGCACAAAGTCATGAGTTCAATTCCCAGTACTAAAACAAGGCTTCCTTTTATCCCAGCATGGGGGCTGGGAGTGGGAATCTTCCTTTGCGATGCCTGCACACTGGGTTTAAAACGTGACTAAATAGATAAATAAGTAAATAAGTAAGTAAGTTGCTGGGGATATAGCTCAGCGGCACAGTGCCTGCCTGGAAAGCACAAGGTCACGAGTCCAATTCCTGGTACAAAAAAAAAAAAGGAAGGGCTGGGGATATAGCTCAGTGGCAAAGCGCCTGCCTGGTAAGCACAAGGTCATGAGTTCAATTCCCGGTACCAGAAGAAAAACTACAAAAAATTTTTTTAAAAAGGAAGAAATTTATGCCGGGCATGGTGGCACACGCCTGTAATCCCAGCACTCAGGAGGCTGAGGCAGGAGGATCACTGCGAGTTTGAGACCAGCCTGGGCTACAAAGTGAGCTCAAGGCTAGCATGAACTACAGAGCGAGACCCCGTCTCAAAAAAAA